TTGGGCCCGAGCCGACTTTTCCCGGGCCAAACTTAGGTAAGTGACTTCCTAAATCCTACCTAGTACTTTGGGTATTTTTAGACTTGTTTAGGGTGAAATTTAGTACCAGCTTAGGACTTTAATTGGGTGTGGGCTAATTAGACTGATTGTGCTTAATTTGTGAATTATTGTGGCGATAATTGTGCGGCTGATTTAGTGATTGACTGAGATAGATATGCCTGACTGAATTGTCGTGGCGCTTGTGGGTGAATTGGATTAATTGAATGTGCTGACATGAATGTCGGGTCGGTGGACCGATGTGGGGAGTGTGAATTAAAGTGGTTGTTAGAGTGTGTCAGATTGACATTGGTGTGAGCTTGGTAATTTGATTGTGAAATGTACGACGTGTTAGATGATAGATTGTGTGGTGGTGCATGTGCATGAGAGAAATGTCCTGAGGCGTGGTTACGCGGGACTGAGCCCGGCTTGATCTGAGGGCTGCCAACCTGAGGCGTGGTTACGCGGGTGTAGCTAGAAAGGCAAGTAATGACCTGAGGCGTGGTTACGCGGGTCGAGAGAAATGTCCTGAGGCGTGGTTACGCGGGACTGAGCCCGGCTTGATCTGAGGGCTGCCAACCTGAGGCGTGGTTACGCGGGTCGAGAGAAATGTCCTGAGGCGTGGTTACGCGGGACTGAGCCCGGCTTGATCTGAGGGCTGGCCTGAGGCGTGTTGACGCGGGCCGTGTGAAAGGACCTGGGAGGTCGTGAGAAAGTTGCTCGACCACGCATGCGAATTGAGTGTGATTGAATTGACTGGTTGAATTAGTTGGAGTGATTGAGTGAAAGCATGGTTGGTGTTTGAGCGATTTGTGATGTGTTATTTAATTACTATTATTGCCTTATCACGTGACGACTAACGTGTAGAGTTGGCATGGACTTGATGACGAGGTAAGTACAATGATGCGAATTTTATATGTTATGGGGTAGATTGCATGTATGACTTGTCTGGGTACGCACTGGCCTACGTGGGTTTTAGGGGGTTGCTTATTGAGACTCGTTCTCACGGTTATTATATAACCATTTCAGATCCGCGACCGTAATCGATTCGGAGATGCCGCCAGAGCACCACAGGGATTGAAGAATAGATCATTTACCCTGTCTTTTGATTACCTTTTGTAGAGGAGATAAGCTTGTCAACCACCGCCCCCTTTTGAAAATTGTGGTTCTAAATTGGTAGCCCGAGTTATCGTTTTGTATAGTGACTACCTTATGTTGGTATGCAATTATTGTTTCGTGCTATCCCTTTGTCATTGTTTATTGTCTGGGTTAATTAGTTTCGCTTCCGCTTGCCCTTATTGTTGGGTGTTTCGTTGGGGTCGGCGACGCGTCCTGGGACGTCGCGTTCAATGATCGACCATCGAGGGATGACCGCGCGCTCGTAGGGTGCGGAGCGTGACATGTGTCCACCATTGTTAGTCAAATTCCACGTGTCGTTCGTAATCCGACTTACGCATGTAGAGGGTGTTGAAATATCTCACATTGCTATCTCCCTCCACCTACTTATTTAAGTTTTTGGTTTGCAGTTTCGAACAGTTTACAACCAAGGCATCAACATTCGTGTTCTAGTTGCTGACAATCCATTACTTTGTAGGGACTTGCCTTAGCTGGCGCAGACACTACCTCAGTCTCCTTGACATGAGCTTTGTCCTTGTTACTCAACCATCGTGAAGTCCCGAAGAAGGCCCAACATGAACTAGACACTCAAATCGGTAGAGAAAAGCAAGTAAATGAATCAGACCTCAAGAATTTGGTCTACATCCAAGCCATCATCAAGGAAACCTTGCATTTGTATCCGGCGGCCCCACTCGGTATCCCGCATGAGTCCATGGAAGATTGCACGGTGGATGGCTACCACGTCCCAAAGGGCACTCGTCTCCTCTTTAACTTTTGGAAGATCCATCGTGACCAGCACATATGGTCGGACCCTCTCGAATTCTGGCCGGAGAGATTCTTGACCACCCACAAAAATTTTGACGTTCGAGGTCAGAATTACGAGCTGGTACTGTTCGGAAGTGGCCGGAGAATGTGCCCCGGAATCAATTTAGCCATGCAACTAATTTCGATGTCCCTTGCCGCCCTTCTGCATGGGTTCGACATCATGACATTGGCAGATGAACCGTTTGACATGGCCGAGGCAATCAGAATGACGTATCTCAAAGCTACCCCACTTGAAGTCTTTGCGCCTCCACGACTTCCCAAGCACATATACCAATGACTCTCCTCTAGAAATGGAGAAATGCTCAGGCTTGGCATCTATAGTGCCTCTCTACCATATTCCCACTTAGGTGGTGAAGTATGTTTCTACAAGGGATAAGTGCATTCAAAGTCCTAAATCTTGTCACGAAAGTGTAATTAAGTCCTAAAACTTTCATAATGTGCAATTAAGTCCTAAAACTTATTAGGAAAGTGCAATTGAGTCCTAAAACTTTCAAAAAGTGCAAACAAGTCCTAAAACTTGTCACGAAAGTGCAAACAAGTCCTAAAACTTATCAAATTGGTTCAATCAAGTCCTTCCATTGATTGCACTTTTTGAAAGTTTTAGGACTTGATTGCACCTTCGTGATAAGTTTTAGGACTTAATTGCACTTTCGTGATAAGTTTCGGAACTTGATTGCACTTTTTGAAAGTTTTAGGACTTGATTGCACTTTCGTGACAAGTTTTAGAACTTGATCGCATTTTTTGAAAGTTTTAGGACTCAATTGCACTTTCCTGACAAGTTTTAGGACTTCTAGTGCACTTATCCCTTTCTACAAATAAGATAAAGACAATACTAATAAATGGGCAAAAGAACACTACAAGTGCCATAACTTGTGTACGGCGCTCACTTTAGTGCCATAACTTTTTTTTGGATCACTTTAGTGCTAAAATTTTTTAAAAACGATCACTTAAGTGCTAAAATTTTTGAAAAACGATCACTTAAGTGCCAACTCCGGTGCCGTACACAATTTTTCGCTGGAAATCTGACGTGGCATTTTTTTTATTAATTTCTGAAGCTGACGTGGCTCGCCGGAGTCTCGCCGGAGATTGGCACTTAAGTGATCGTTTTTCAAAAATTTTAGCACTTAAATGTTCGTTTTTCAAAAATTTTAGCACTTAAGTGATCGTTTTTCAAAAATTTTAGCACTAAAGTGATCCAAAAAAAAGTTATGACACTTAAGTGATCGTTTTTCCTCCGACTTGGCACCAAAGTGATCCGAAAAAAAGTTATGGCACCAAAGTGAGCGCCGTACACAAGTTATGGCACTTATAGTGTCCTTTTGCCCTAATAAATGGATAGTTTATTAGTCGATAGTTTCACTATGGAGCATGCTTGATCATGTCAACTTTTATGATTTACTTTTTGTGTTTAATGGTAGTCATTAAGCATGCTAATGTGTAAGTTTGGGTAACAATGTAGTAGGAAATATAGACTATTATTTGGTGAGGGAATTACATGTTTATTTTCCTTTTTCCGAGATAAGAGTTGTATATATATAGTACACAATAAAATCTGCAATCATGTTAAGCTCACAGTGTGCTGCGAACTATGCTTGAATTGCCTGTGCAAAGTATGCTTCGAAAACAACATTAGTTAAATGTAATACCTGGAGCATAGTCTGCCTACTAACCCGGGCATGCCGCCCAATAAACAGAGGCTGCGGAGAACTAAGCCTGAACTTTCAAAGAAAATAGAGGAAGAAGTTATGAAGCTCTTGAAAGTTGGGTTTATTGAAGTCACCCAATACCCCAGCTGGGTGGCCAACATCGTGCCGGTCATGAAGGAGGATGGCCAATTCGGGTTTGCATCGACTACCGCAACCTAAACAAGGCCAGTCCTAAATATGACTTCCTATTGCCACACATAGATGTTCTGGTAGACAGTATTGCTGAGTTCGAGTTGTATGGTACACAATAAAATCTGCAATCATGTTAAGCTCACAGTGTGCTGCGAACTATGCTTGAATTGCCTGTGCAAAGTATGCTTCGAAAACAACATTAGTTAAATGTAATACCTGGAGCATAGTCTGCCTACTAACTCGGGCATGCCGCCCAATAAACAGAGGCTGCGGAGAACTAAGCCTGAACTTTCAAAGAAAATAGAGGAAGAATTTATGAAGCTCTTGAAAGTTGGGTTTATTGAAGTCACCCAATACCCCAGCTGGGTGGCCAACATTGTGCCGGTCATGAAGGAGGATGGCCAATTCGGGTTTGCATCGACTACCACAACCTAAACAAGGCCAGTCTTAAATATGACTTCCTATTGCCATACATAGATGTTCTGGTAGACAGTATTGCTGAGTTCGAGTTGTTTTCCTTCATGGATGGTTTCTTGGGTTATAATCAAATAGAAATGTAAGACGATGATAAAGAGAAAGCAACGTTCATTACCCCTTGGGGGACGTTCCACTACAAGGTCATGCCCTTCGGCCTTAAAAATGCTAGGGTAATATATCAACGGGCAAAGGTGACGCTTTTCCATGACATGATGCATAAGGAGATTGAGATCTATGTCGATGACATGATCGCCAAGTTTTGACCCGGGGAGAGTCACGTCGATACCCTGAAGAAACTGTTTGAGAGACTCCATGAGTTCAAGCTCCATCTCAACCAGGCAAAGTGCATATTCGAAGCAACCTCTAGCAAACTACTCGGGTTCATAATGAGCAGTAAAGGCATTGAAGTCGACCTCTCCAAAGTGAAGGCTATGTATGAGTTATAACCCCCATCAATTGTGAAAGAAGTGCAGAGCCTCCTGGGTAGGTTGAACTACATAGCCCGCTTCATCTCCTAGCCGTCTGAAACTACTAAGCCATCCTTCAAACTTCTAAAGAAGAACGCTCAAGTGGAATGAGACGATGATTATCGGGAGGGGTTTAACGAGCTGAAGCGATACTTGATGAAACCACCGGTGCTAGTCCTACCAATGCTGGGGCAGCCCTTGATCCTTTACCTCACAATTCATTGCGAGTCCCTAGGTGCGATGCTAGCCCAGAAAGGGCCTGATGATGCAAAAGAGCGTGCCATCTATTACCTGAGTAAGTTCACCATCTCGGAGTTAAACTATCTTGAAGCTGAAAAGACTTGTGCTGCACTAGAGTGGGTGCTCCACAGGCTGCGACAGTATTCACTGCATTACGAGACGTTTCTTATGATTGAGAACGATCCCATCAAATATTTACTTGATCAGTCGGCTTTGGTAGAAAAGTTGGCCAAATGGCAGATTTTGATTTCAGAGTTTGACGTCCAAACGATGCCACAGAAGTCAGTTAAAGACCAAGCAATCGCTGATGTATTGGCCGAAAGCCCTAGGATCCTAGACGATGATGGATGTTCCCCAGAAGATCGTATTTTGCTAATAAAGAAAGACAGATGGACCATGTTCTTTGATAGAGCCGTAAACCTATTTGGTTCCGGTACTGGGGCAGCTCTAATATCCCCATATGGACAACACTATCCAGTAGCTGCAAAATTGGTATTCCCATGCACCAACAACATAGCCGAGTACGAAGCTTGCATCCTCGGACTCCAAGCGGCGGTCGAAATGGTGGTAACCAAATTGAAGGTATATAGTGATTCTGCTCTAATCATCCTCTAAACTATGGGAGAATGGACGACGAAAGACGCTAAGCTTGTGCCATACCACGAATATCGAAAGAAATCATGGAGGAATTCAAGGATATCTCCTTTGAGTACTTGTCGAGGTCCCACAATCAGTTCGCTGATGCACTAGCTACCTTATCATCTATGCTACAAGTAACTGATGGATTGGAAGTAGAACCTCTAACGATCGAAGTTTTGACAAAACTGGCCTACTGTATGGTCATGATCGAAGAGCCTGATGGAAAGCCATGGTATTACAACATCATGAGCTACATCCAAAGACAAGAATTTCCTGAGGGAGGTACTCCTGCTGATAGGAAGTACATAATGAAAATGGCTTCAAAATTCTTCGTTAGTGGTGAAAAGCTATATAAAAGATCTTACGATTCGATCTTGCTAAGATGTGTGGATGCGGCTGAAGCTACTAGAATCATGCAAGAAGTGCACAAGGGAGTATGTGATCCGCACATGAATGGCCACATGTTAGCCAAGAAGATCATGAGGTTAGGCTACTACTGGCTTAGCCTTGAAAGTGACTACATCCAACATGTCCGAAAATGTCATCGTTGTCAGGTTCATGGGGATAAGATAAACGTCCCTCCGACTGAACTGCACCAGTTGTCCAAGCCACAGTCCTTTTCAATGTGGGGCATCGATGTGATTGGCCCAATTAGTCCCAAAGCAACAAATGGAGATCGGTTTATCTTGATTGCAATTTATTACTTCTCCAAGTGGATTGAAGATGCGTCTTATGCTAATGTCACTACACAGAACATTGTAAGATTCATCAGGCGAGACATAATTGCTCGTTATGGCATCCCCAAGGCTATTGTCATTAACAACGGAACAAATTTGAACAACAAGTTTATAGATCAGTTGCTCAACGAGTTCAAGATCCGGCACTTGAATTCGTCTCCCTATCATCCACAGATGAACGGAGCAATTGAAACCGCCAACAAGGACATCAAGAAGATCTTGGCCAAAACGGCCGAAAACTATCATGACTGACATGAAAAGTTGCCCTTTGCACTAATGGCGTATCGGACTTCGATCCGAACCTCTGTTGGGGCAACCCCTTTTTCTTTGGTGTACAGCATGAAAACAGTCTTGCTCGTGAAAGTAGAGATCCTTTCCCTCCAAGTCTTGTCCCAGGTTGAGTTATTCGAGGCGGAATGGATGCGACAAAGGCACGAGCAGTTGAGCCTAATTGATGAGAAGCGACTGAAAGCCATTTGTTATGGTCAAACCTACTGGCAGAGGATAGCTAGGTCCTTCAACTGAAAGGTGCATCTAAGATACTTTGAGGTAAATGACCTAGTCATGAGGAAAGTACTACCAATTGCTTCTATTTTCGGGGGTAAATTCGCCCTAAACTACAACGATCCATATGTGGTTAAAAAGGTGCTTCCCAGAGGTGCCCTGATTCTCGCAGAAATGGACGGTCGTGAGTTTTCCACTCCTATTAATTCTGATGCTATAAAGATGTATTATCCCTGATAGAATCTAGCATTTTGCAGCAAAAATTTTCGAGTATCTGGCTTTATATTCTAAGTTGTAAATATTTCACTGATGAATAAATGGTTTCAATCAACTTCAAGATGGAATATGTGCATTGGCTTTAAATTCTGCTTGGTTATTTTGTCAGTATGCATCATCGATTTCGCAAGAGGGAATCTACTTGGACAATTTAATAACTCATGTGGAATGAATTGAATGTGTTAAATGAGGTACATCGGAATGATGAAAGGCAAAACATGCCCCATACATAGTCCTATACAGTAATCCCCAGTGAGTTGAGTGGAAAAATTCCATGTCGGTAAGCTAAAGAGTTATCTCGTAAAAGGTACGGCACCCGAAATGACAAGAGGCATTTCTTTTCTCTACCTTAAACACTACAAGTTGTCCATTGTTACGCCACTTTGAGCCTAAACACTTGGAGAAATTCTTTCAAATTACCCCTGTCAAGAACCACCCTACATCGGGGCAAACTGGAGGTAAGTCGACATTATAAGGTGAAAAATGAATAGAAATTATCTTGTTCTCACTTGCATCAATCTTCGAGTGTTGCATTTTCAAATGAACTCATACGAAGTTCATGTGCCTTAGAATGACGAAGAGCGTTTCTTTCTCTATCCTATATACAGACTTTATCCTTTGCTAAGCCCAATTGAGCCTGCAAATTCTTTTCTTTAAACCCGGTTGGTGATCATCCTCCACACCGAGGCAAGAAAAGAGCCATCACTATCCAAGTAGCATATCTAGAGCGTCGATAAAAGATAGAAACCCTTGAGAGTTCAAATGTCGAGTCATTCAGTCAGAATAGGCCAAAGTGTGGTTGGCTAACGTATGCATTGTAGACAGCGTATGTCAAGTGACGCGAGTAAAAAAAAAGGGTGAGCATGAAAAAGCAGTGTGCCTGGTAAAAGCAAGACCGACGCCCAGTGGAGAAAAATAGGTGTGTTAGAATTGTCCCCAATGGGGTGGTCATAGTCATACAAGTTTAAAGAAGTTAAGTGGTGAACTCAAGGCCAATGCAGTATCTACCAAGAAGAAAATTCCTGGCAAAGAAGAAGACTAGTGAAAATGCCGAGATGATCACTAACTCTTTCGCTCCAACTATACACATTTCGAGTCTAATGATCCATTCGTTTCTCGACCAGTGAACCAAGCCTACGTTACGTCCCTTGCAAAGTCTCTTCATATTACGACACTTGAATTGACGTAAATGCTTATAAGCTTAGCTCGAAGAAGTGCGAGCAAGACCATTTCTATCTCATTTTGCAGGGTTCTTGACTTGTAAACCCGGAGATGATTGTGGAGTATCGTTCTTTCAATAGCCACGACTCGAAGAGTCCCATTTGTTAAGCCATTGACCAAACCTACATTACGATTCTGATTAAGACCTCTCAAATTGGTAAGGTCGTACTACTTGCGAGAACACTCGGACCTTTGTCAATATGATGATGGTGAGATGGAGCGATTCTCATAAATCAGAATTTTCTAATGAGCGTGAATGAAAGCCCTTTCGAACAGGAGGTCCTTCATTTGACATTTCAAGACACCTACTTGTGAGTTCGGATTATCTTATCATGATTCTCCCCAGTGAAATTTTTGCAATCTTAATTTGACAAAATCGTCATGCATGAAAACCAGTTGAATTTATAGTGCATGAGTATATGTGTTCTTGATTGCCCATCAATGCACGTTACATGTTGCCTATAATTGCATCCAGCAGGAGACGCGCCCTCAAGAGTTGGAGATATCATCAAGTAAGTATATATCTAGCCCTTTTGGATGCCCGTGATTATCCAGGTATCCCTAATATGCTCGAGCAATCGTCAGGCCCTCATATTTGATCATTTTGTTGCAATCTTTAGATGCCTCTGATGATATCTAGGCATCTATTGATCAAGCCTTTTCAGGTGCTTGATGATATCCAAATGCTTTGTTAAGGAACCCTTGAGCATTCGGGCTAGCCCTTGATTCACTCAATCATTAAGTATCCGCAATGATATTCAGGTATTTATTGATTAAGTCCTTTCAAATATCCTAGAAGATAACTAGATATTTTGTTAGGCACACTTTTCACACAATTCGGAAGGGTTCCCCTGTGTTGCACCTATGACAATAACTAGGTGCAGCGGCCAAATCTTTACGAGTACCCATGATGATGTATAGGTATTTTATAAAGGTCGAAATATTCATCAAAAATCTAGGAAAAGTTCCCCCGTGTCGTACCTACGACAATAACTAGGTGCAGCGGCCAAATCTTCACGAGTACCTATGATGATGTATAGGTATCTCGTAAAGGTCGGAACATTCTCCGAACCTATCAAGGGTTCTCCTGTGTTGCACCTATGACGATAACTAGGTGCAGTAGTCAAATCTTCACGAGTACCTATGATAATGAATAGGTATCTCGTAAAGGTCGGAACATTCTCCCAACCTATCAAGGGTTCCCTCGTGTCGTACCTATGACGATAACTAGGTGCAGTGGCTAAATATTTACGAGTACCTACGACGACAACTAGGTATTTCGTAAAGGTTGGAACGGTCTTCCATTTTGTCAAAAGTCTTTTCAAATACCTCAGATGATAACTAGGTGTTTTGTTAGGCACATCTTTCATACGAATTGGACAAGCTCCCTCGTTAAACACCTACGACGATATCTAGGCGCAGCGGCTAAACTTTAACGAATACCTCAGATTATAACTAGGTATTTCGTTAAGGTCGGAACGAACTCCATTTCGTTGAATCCTTCTCTCGAGAACCTCAGACAATAACTGGGTGCCCCGAACATTCTTCGTGTGTCTTGACTGAGTTGCAGGTCATCGAAGTCCCTCGGCAGTTTATCAAGCAATAAATTTGGGACAAGGCCCAACGATTGTCAGATTATATAGAATCAGAGTCATGCCTCGAATCACACTACCACTTCTGTCAGGTAAGTAACTCCAGGTATACTTTATTCCCATTAGCATGCATCATGGCATATTGCACTTCAAAAAGGGACTAATACTCCCACCAAAATTAACATTTATTGCATCTGCATGATCAAAATTTAGGTATCATTTAATCTTTGAATGCAACCTCTTCGAGCTCACCTTCAAAGAGGGGTAACTGTTGACACCTAAATTTTGGTTAACAAATTAGGAACCAATTGCATAGAAAATTAGGGATTAAACTTTAACCCCTAAACAAAAATATGAAAATCGCATAGCATATAGTTTAGAATAATATAGTTCAATTACATTTTGCATTAGACCGGGAGTGGTGAATAAGTTCAAATTAGTCGCGCGACACTCGGTTAGGCAGTAGAAAAAAGGGGGGAGTGTAACATTCTGAATTTTCGATCCTTTTCTCGGGATTTATGAAATGAATATTTTGTCAATGCACTTATAGTGAGATCTCACCTGGAACTGATCATTCTAGGGATGCTAACCTTAGGGGTAAGGCTATCACGGGATTGAGTTCGAACGACCAAAGAACTCGACCATG